CGGAGGGCAAGCGCATCTGGCCTCGGCGACTGTTGGAGCTGCTCGGCGCGCCCCAGAGCTGCCTCCAGGCGCTTGTGGTCTTCCTTCTCGTCTACCCCGGAGAATTGAGGATCCCGCCCCGAATCCAGTCTCTTCGCGTCAGGAGTGCGCGGAGCTGGGAGCGGCTTGGCCATGGCCGTGAGAAGGGACTCCGTGTGGAAGTACTGCTGGGGAGTTTTGATGGTTTTATGCAGAACTGCAATTTCCAGATCGATAGTTTTAGAGCCTATCTATTGGAATTCCTCGAACTCCAAGTAAGTGGCGTCCGCGATCCCCCTCGATTCCCTTCCCGGGGTCCGCTGCGCCCTCCCGGCGGGAGGAGGGGTGGGCCTGCTGAGCCTCGGAGCTTGTATCTGGAACCCGGGTCTCCTGTTCCCCACACCCACCCTGCCACATTTCACTAGGTGGAGACTAGCTGTGCTTTTCAGCCCGAGCGCCGTCTCCAAAAGGCGCATTCTCCCTCTTTTCCTCTCCTAAACGCTTCAGGGTGCTAAAGCCCCTGGCGGCTCAGGTGGCTCGTCTGGGAAGGTGTCAGATGGCGATACCTGAACTCACTTCTTTTCGAGGACGAAGGAAGTGTCCACAAACAGGGCAGACCAACGCGCTGCGACTGGCGGGCTCCGGAGACCGGCGGAGATGCTGCGCTTGCAAGGAGCGCTGGCGCTGCGGGCCCGGGCGCCGCGGGCTGGAGGGCTAAGGGGCCTGTAGGTCTAGGGCAGAGGAGTACAGCCTTGGAGAGGGAAGACCGGGTTGCTGAGCTTCCCGCAGCGTCCAGGAGCCCGTGTGCCTCGGCTCCCCACTAGCAGCCGAGGGTGCGGCGGGGAGTTCTCTTGCTCCGGCAGGAGAACTCAGGCAGCGAGCCCTCTCTTTTCCGCTTGGGGAGAGGGGCCTTAGATTTGCTCCAAAGGGCCCTCCGCACGTCACTTCTCCCTTCATTTATATATACCGATGGCCCAGAACTCTGTGAGGTCCCAGTAGCGGCTTAATTTCGCAAATTCTGCAAAAGCTTAGGGCCCTGCCCAGTCGACACTTCTCCAGAAGCCTTCGCCTTTAGAGGCCCTGGGTCGAAATAGGATTCTTTGGATCAGACTTGGCTTTTATCAAACACAGCCTAGAGAAAATCAGGCCTGTGGAGAGTAACTTTCAGTTTGAGCTATCAGGGTATATTCAGAATTTAGAAAATGCTTTCCCTCCATATATGTATATGACTACACTCGCAGTCATCTGGGCATTCGGTGCTGCATTTCACCTCATTCTCGGGATATATTTCGAATCAAAGCCAAAAAGTGTTTTATAGAATCTTGGAATTTTAGCCCTGGGAAACTTGGGGAAAGTATGGAGACATTGCCTAGTTTTTGGAGAAAATATTTGAAATCAGAAGCACAATCAATGGCGTATTTGAAGTTGTGCAAATGGTGCATGGAATTAGGAGTAAAGAGAAAGGAGATTGATTTAGAAATTACATCTTTATTAAAGAAATGTATCCTCTCTCTTTGAAAAGGTGAATTTCGAATTGCCAACATGTTAGCCACAAATGCTCCCACTAAATGGTCAAAACATTACATTTATAACTAGCTTTAAACAGCAATTTCTTGCCCGCTGTTCGATGGATGGTACTTTCAAACACTGCTCATATTTAAAAGTTGCTTAATGCAGCCTCCTTCCATGTAGTCTGACCTTGTAGTTTTGTTTTTAATTTTTTAAAGTAAGATATGACATTTGCTGTACTGGCGGTGGCATCTTTACCAGGAGAACGAATCCTGAGGCACCAGGTGGTGCCGGAAGGCGCCTGGCTGGGACCTGCGTGCAGTAGCGGCCCGAGTCCGGGCGCGGCCGGGCCCTGCTCGCTCTGTGCCTACAGAGGTCACTCTTCCATGCCGAATGCTCGCGGGTCGGCCGCGCCCCTCCCCCAGGCCGCCTGCTCCGCTCCACTTTCCACTTTCACTCAGGGCTCTCTTTGGGGCTGATTCTTTTTCTTTCTGTCTTTCTATCCGCATTTAATATATTTAAGTCGAGTTGAAAAAATTACACTTAACTCCTTCAGCGGTCAGCTCTCAGTATCTAACCAATAGTTTGTGTGTATCTGGGAGAAGGATTAGAAATGCCTACTGAGTGGGGGACAAGGATTATTCCCATCCAAGGTTGAAATGGTAATATTTTCTCAATATGTTGGAGGAGGAAGGTGACTGATAGTCACTCCCCGGCCTGAGCTTTAAGTCTGTTTTTCCCGAGCTGTGGCCACAGACTGGGAGACCTGCTAGGGGCCTGCGTTTTGGAGAAGCCACCTCCCTGAGCTGCTGCTGCTGCTGCTGCTGCTGCTGCTGCTGCGTGGGTGTGATTGCTCCCAGCCCTCCGAAGTGAGATTTCTTTCTAAATCCCTGGATAATGGCTTGCCTGGAGGACTGGATAAGGTTTCTCTGAAAAATATCTACTTTTGGAAAGTATGCAACTGAATGCTAGCTTGAAAGACCAGAAAGATATCTTCCTGGGGGACAATATGAAAGAGCCATTCTTGAGTTTGAGGCTGTATAAACTCACCATGGTGCCAGGGACTTGCTTCACTTGGAGAAGTTGCATTTTTATTTCCAGGGAAAAGTTTCAAGCAATAAATATAATGTAGCACAAGGTAATCAAAGGCATCCAAGTTTCACATCACTGTATCTGAACTGTGAAACAATTCATTTGTAACGAAGCAACCATCAGCAATTAGATTTGTTTCATCTGGAGGTCAGTTTTTTAGCAGGTGGTATACCCAGAGAGCAGACAACAGCTGTTTGCATACAGGTCCAGAAAACCCTTTGCAAATTCAGCGTCTCCATAACTACTTTAATAACATTGTCTCTGCTTCCATCCTGAGAGTTTCTGTAATAATCCAAAAAAGTTCTGTGTACTGAAACATTAGTGGCTGCCTGTTAGATTATTCACATGGCATCAATAGGTTCTGGTAACATTTAGATCCTTTCAACTTTTTTTTTTTTTTTTTAATGGGGAGAACAGCAAAACCTAGCTTCCATTTCTAATTAATATTTCAGTGGAACTTTTTTCTTTTTGCTAAAATAAAATAGTTAGTTTTTAAAAAAATCAATTTCACTTTAAGGTGAGCAAATCTATACTGGTATGGTATTCTAGAATGAATTACATTGTTGCAAATTTCAGTAGAAGATTAATTTATTATGTCTAGAGTTGCTATTCCCCATGCATCACAAACTAGTTACTTAATAAAGCATTTGCTTTTCTCATTAATTTTCCTTCTACATAATGCTGAATTCCTAATATTGATTGACTTGATACAAAAGAATGGCTGGATAATATCCAGATAACCTATAATACACGGGCCTCACCCCAGTCAGGCTCTGAATAAATACAGAGCTGCCAGATTGATAAAATAAACTACAATGGATTGTGCTGTTTAAACAGCCCATTCAAAAACATATATACGCCAGCCTGCCTTCCATTGTGTCTGAAATTCTTATTTTTGTAGGTAAACAAATGCACATTCAGCACTGATTGAATAGCCCCTTGAACTATGCTCCACAGTTTGCGTGTGGGTTAATCTTGTCGGTTTTAATATAGAGAGAAAAAAGCACAAAGCACCAGGGGTGGAATTGTGAGTGCTTTCACATCCACATTCCTCACGTTTTGTCAGGATGATAAACTGTAGGTAATGGACTGTCGTTGTTTCACAGGACAACTGAGCCAGGCCGAGCACAAAGACAGAGCTAAAGCGATATCTTACAACATGGTTGGTAGCCTTCTATTCAGATGAGAATTTATTTGGGAATCATGTGTCTCGGGACTGCACTTTTTAACCTCAACAATTACAGCTTCCAGCCTCTGAAACAGAAGCTGGAGGTTAAGATGGTTTGTTAAGCACTTGGTTCTAAACCTTTCACAAAAGCATAGCTGTTGACACTTGTCCTACTGATGCAAAGAAATGCAAATGATGCCAACATTCCTTAACGTTTCTGACCCTTGAGCTAAATAAAGTATGAGTTCAGGTGAATTAGCCATCACCTGGAGACAACCTAAAACTACATGTTGGGATGCTTGGTTTGCCGGTAGAGTTAGCAGCGGAAGAGCAATTGTATATTTATATTAACTACCCCAAGCCTCCTGTGTGTGCACTTACTGAGCTAACCCCCTTGCCTGGTGGATCAGCAGCGTAACTGCCTTCAGAGGGACCTTGTCAATGGAGCAACTGAACCTCGCCATCTTGTCTTGCACTGAATATTTCAGGTCGCTTGCAGAACTTCATATGACACCTAACTGGGAGCTACATTTCACAGTGAGCCCACCTAATATGACTGCGGTGGTGCGTCACAGCAATGGGAGTGGCAGAGAGAAGGAAATACAGATGGTAGACCCCAATGAAAACATTTCTTAGGAAAGATTTTCTTTAACATTTTATAGAAATTTTTTTTTCTCTTAAAACATTTAATTGCAAATTGGACAAAAAGAAGTGCTCTTGTAGGAAAGATGATTAAAATGGCCCTCATGTCTTGCCTAATCTCTACCTTCTTTTGCTGCTGACATAAAGAACCTGTTTTTCAGGTCACTTATTATACATCTACATAGATTTGCTTATGAGCTCACCCTTTGTGTGGTGGAGGAGAGCCTTAAAGAGGAGTGTTCAACTGTTTAAAATATTTTGATTAAAATATGCAGGACCCATAGAACTATAAGCTTCTAGTCAGGAATTAGCTCTTTCAGGGAAGAGCTGCCCCCCTTCCCTTCAAGGGGGGAATTAGAATGGAGCTGGGGGAGAAATAAGAACAGCAAAGAAGGAAGGATAGCAAATGGGACATGTTCCGAACAGCTTGGAAAAACTCCTGTGGCTTCATTGTCTCTATAAAGCCAAAGAATACAAAGACATCAGCAATTCAGCCCTTCTCCCATGATGGAAAATGGAAGCCGTTGACATGGCTCCCCTGTTTAACTTGTTTAATTCTCATTTTAAATTCAGCACTGTCCCAGCCGTGTGAACTCTGAAGATTTCTTTAGTAATCCATTTTGTAGTTCCGAATCAAAAACAAAGTGAAAGGGTCTGACACAATTTGCTTTTATTTTTAGGCAAATCAACCCTGGTCATAGTTAATAAGGGGATTACAACCCAGACTAGGTCTTTACAGATGTAATGTAAATCAAGGGCAGAGCATAAAGAAACTGATCCCTTTTGATTGAAGTATGGTAAAAAGGCCTAGAGAAACTAGCAGCAGTAATCTGATTGTATGGCAATAAAACCACCATTTTCTGT